TATACCAAATTTTATGAAAACCAAAATTATACATATAGCAACATTTTAGCTCTACAAAATACAATGATGGCATGTGTCATTTATTCTCTTTTCTGTACTTCTCAGTATTTTCAGATTTCCTACAATGGCCTTGTGTTATTCTAGAGTTTACAAAAGTTTCTAAAACTGTCTTCAAAAACTTTCTCTCTGAAAAAAAGAAAGAAAAAGTTCAAAACGATCACTTTTCAGTATTTATACTTCATAGAAATCAATTTGCTATTTGCCTTGACTTTATTTTCTCTACCTAGAGAGAGAGAGACGTGGCCATGGGGTGTGTGTGTGTGTGTGTGTGTGTGTGTGTGTGTGTGTGTGTGTAACTCAATAACTTATTTATTCTACATCATCAATAAATATGATATTTTTGTGAATGAATTTACCAATTAATTGAAATGTGCACCTCTAACATCAAAACTTTTGTGAAACTTGGTTGAACATCTATTGAAAATATATCACATTCAATTCTGTTGCTTAAATCACAACTTAAAATGAAATTAAGCCTTCTTATGATGATTTGAGATCATCATTATGAACTTTATACTATTATACTAATAGTAGTTCTCAGGAACTACTGGGTCCTAGAGGGGTATCTCTCCCATTATAATGCAGCCAAGAATTGCTCATTTTTTTCTTATGCTGGCTATTTGTGGATTTTTTCCCCTCTTCTCTTGCGAAACCATTGGCTATCATTTCCCAGTACTATAGGGAGCCTGCCTTTAGCAGCACCTGCAACTTCCCATTCCTGTTTTGCTGTTGGTAATCTTCTAAGGGTAAGAAAACCAAACATAGGAGTTTAAAAGAATTCCGTGTAAATTAAGAGTTAGAAGGCTTCAAATAAGGATATCACCTAAAATGATTTGGACAGACTTAGATGACTGAGTCAAGGCTGCAATATAAACGAACTCCAAAGAGTATATGAGTTTCTGATTGTATCTCAAGTGTTATTCCTTTACTCAACTGGCAGTCAAGTCTCAGGATCAGAATCTACATATGCTGTTTCTCTTATCACATCATGGAAAGAGATGTGGACCAGGAGCCAAAGAACTTACTTCTAGTGCAGGTTACTACACCCACCAGTTTTGTAACCCTCAACACATCTTTTAACCTTGGTGTCTGTCCTACATAACTTATGGGGTTGCGCTAGAATTAAATTAGATCACAAACACAAAAACACTCCAAAAAATATAAAGCAGTGTACAAAAGTAAAAGATTATTATAGTATTACATTATGTTTATGTGACCCTGGATCGATCTAGGTATTAATTCAGAAAATTCATACCAAATTAGACAGTGGGAGGGAAAATGGAGATAATGAAAAGATGAAGTTTCAGTTAGACATGAGGAGTAAGTTCTGGAGACCTATTGTTCAATATGGTTCTATAGCTAATAATAATGTATTGTACACTTGTAAACTGCTTAGAGAGTAGATTTTAAATGCTAAGTAGGTGAGGTGGTAGATATGTTAACTTGCTTGACATAATCATCCACAATGTACACATATAGCAGAACATCAAGAGGTACACCATAAATATATACAAGTTCTGCCAATAAAAAAAAAGCAATAAATTTTTAAAAAGAGATATAAAAAGGTAAAATTCTTATAAGAATAGAGGGAAAGGGATAAGTCTTCAATTGCCCCCCATTAATTAGAAAACATTGATTATCTAGGAAAAGCAATATATCCCAAGAATTGGCATCTCTGATCTCTCTCCTCCCCCTATATCCAATCAGTCTCCAAGTCCTTTGAATGTTTTACACAACTCTTTACATCTCTTTCTTTCATTACCACTTCAACATCCCAGTTCAGGTCTTTATTATCTCAACACCCAGGTTTCTACAACAGCCTTTAACTGGCTCCACTCACGGACTCTCCTTTCCTCAAATCCCTCTGGCTCATAGCCACTAGATAAATTTTCTTAAAATACCACTGTGATCATATCTGCTCAAAACCTAAGGACTCTCCATTACTTTCTCCATCAAGTATAAACTCCTAAGCTTTCTACTCTCCCAAACAAACCCTTTCTCAAACCAGTCTATATAATTCCTACAGATGGGCCTTATACTCTTTTGCCTCTAAGTCTTAATATACATTGTTTCTCTCCACATGGAATACTTTTCTTCGAAGCTCCTATCTTGCACACAAAAACTCAATCCATCCTTCAAGAACTAGTTTGAGCACCTACTATGTATATGTCTGTTTAATCACTAAGGAGGAAAAGATGATTTTAAAGTTAGACACATTTGGGTTTGAATTACAACTCCAACCACTTACTGGCTGAGTGACACTGGTACATTCCTAAATATCTCTTTGTCTCAGTTTCTTCCTTTGTAAGATGGGTATAAGGGCAACCTCCCCCAGGCATATTGTGAGGAGTAAATGAATTAATTCATGTAAAGCACTTAGCATGATGTCTGGCAAAGACGAGGAACAAGAGATGTTAGATATTGCTTCTACTCTTATAATTATCATTGTCACTAGTGAATTTATCTTAATCTGAATTCAGACAATACATGAAGAGCCAGTTTGTAAAAGCTCTTCATGTATAATTTCCCTCTCCTCTTTTACCCTTTTACCTCATGCTTGTTCTTCCTCTGATGACCCCAGCCCCCAGATTACATGATCCTGATGGATAGGTCAATGCCTTATATACCTTAGTATCTTCAATGATCACTCACATCTAGTAGACTGTTTTATAACTAGTGAAACAATACTAAAGACCTGATAGTACTAAAATACCCTGCATCCTATAGTGAAGAAGTATATAGAATGCTTAAAGTGATGGGTTAAAAAATTTAAATTCTCAGTCTCACAAAAATTAGATCTCTTTTTTCATGATTCTCTAGGTTCTTTTCGCTCGCTCTCTCTTTTAAAATAAACAACCCGGCCAAGCATAGTGGCTCATGCTTGTATTCCCAGCAATCTGTGAGGCCGAGGTGAGAGGATTGCTTGAGACCAGGAGTTAGAGATCAGCCTAGGAACATAGCAAGACCTCTTCTCCACAAAAAAAGAAAAAAGAAAAGAAAAGAAAAAAAAGTAAAAAAAAATTAGCCGGGTGTGGTGGCACATATCTGTAATCCCAGTTTCTCAGGATGCTGAGACAGGAGGATCACCTGAGCCCAGGAGGTCGAGGTTATGGTGAGCCGTGATCGTGCCACTGCACTCCAGCCTGGGCAACAGAGTGAGACCCCAACTCAAAAATAAAATAATCAACCCAACCTATTCATGCAGCAAGAGATGCAACAGCAAAAATAAATGGAGGTCAGACAACAGCCAAATACCAGAATACAAGGACCACAAGAAAATTCAGCTGAACACAACTCAGAATGAAATAAAATAGGAAGATAATTAAAAGGGAAGAGTAACTGGCTTATCAGTTATGCTAACAATGCTGATTGTTACACACACCAGCCTCAAGATTCCTTTACAGAGCCAAGTATAAACAACTGAAAAAAGTAGGTTAGTAGATATTGAAATATTAATCATTTAACTTAACAGCTGAGCTTACTACATGGTCAATTTAACTACTTAAGTCAAAAGTAACTTTAGAATCTTGAGGTATTAATATATTCCAAGATTCTAAAGTAATCAAAGTTTTGGTTAATGAAGTCATAACAAGTATATATGACCTTACTGTATACTAATCATTCACTTCAAGAAATTTAGTGTGGTGACAACTTAATATACATATATTATTATTATCATAGCATAAACTGTTTTCAACAATGCCCAGGGAAAGTAATATTACTGTAATACTGATTTCTCGTTTATTTGCATGACTTTAATCAATCTTCAGTTGCTTTCCCAGACAACATCAAGGCCTGGTAACTACAAATCAGAATTTACTAGTGGAGGGCATTAAAATGGTTGGATGGTATGTTAATGACTTTCCAAAAACTAGCATAAAGTACTACACATAAGAATAAATTATATTAAATTTCTATCCCTATGACACTTGTCTTCAGAGGACCCTAAGATGTTTCACCAGCTTTGAAGTACAATTATTCTCAAATCATAAAATCTTAAAGACTTAGGAAGAACCTCAGAAGTATCCCAGCTCCACTGGAGGAATTCCTTATACCACCTCTCAGGCAAAAGGTCCTCCAGCCTTTGCTCGAATACTTCCATAATGGGCACTCACTATTTTGAAAGGCAGTTCACTTTACTGTTACAAAATTCTTCCTTACAATCACTGGAAATCTGCCTCCCTGAACTTCTACCCAAGCATCCTAGTTGGGCTCTCTGGAACAACACAAGATAAGTCAGCCTCTGAAACACAGTCACGTTTTGAATTAAGATATAGTTGTCAATTTGTTCACACAAAATGCAAAAGAAAGCCCAGAGAAAAAGAAACCACCACTATACACAACAAAATGATGAAATTCAGGAAACTATATTGAAATCACAGCATATTTTCAAGATATCAAAGTTCACGCCTCACTTACCATATAAATATTAAGAGTAACCTGATTTTTTTTTACAGTGGAAAGTGGTACAGTGTTCATTAAATACCTTTTTTTGCAACTTGATACTACTAAATCCACCAACACAATTTTTGAAATTACAATTCTGTAGGAAGTTGAAAGTGGTTTTCTCAATTGCTCATACTTTCATTCAGTCTATTTCTCTCCAAAACATCTGGGTGTCTGTCTGTTTTTAAAGCCCATTTTCCCCCACTAATGCAATATTTTATTTTAAAAAACAAATATTTTCAAAAAGGAAGGCTAAGAGAACGGAGTGTAAAGGAGTGGGGGTGGGGCGAAGAGCGAAGGCAAAGACGGGCCCAGCAGGAAAAGGCTGGTTGCTGGGTATTTTCCTTCTGGAAGCATGCTTTATTGGCATAGGCATCCGAAGTAACGAGCCATACAAACACGACCCAAGAACAAGAATCATCATAAGCAATGAGTGAAGGCATCAGTGTCCGTAAGATGAAAATGAATTGGCACTGATCGCCAAGCAGCACCGGATGCTTCGGGACCTCGTAGAGGAAAGGTAAGAGGTCCAAGAAACAGAGACCACTGCCACCCTTTGGGGGAGGGAAGAAACCAAGGAGTCCAAGGAAGCCTGAATGGTATAGGGCAAAAGAAAGCCAGCAAGTGACGAGGAGGAAGGTACACACCCTGGCGAGCCCCAAGAAGGGCGTGCTGTGTGCAAATACTGAAGGGGTTCATGAAATGGTGGGGGCAAGGGGATGTGGATGTGGGCAAGGGGCGACGCAGGAGTCTCAGGGTCCCCTCCCTGCAGCAGAGCAACAGAGGGTAAAAGAAGGGGGAGGGTGAAAAGCAAGAATGACTCATTACCAAAAGGAAGTGCTCAAGCCATAGGAAGGCATGCCAGAGGGGATTTCAGGGCAAGGGCCGTGAGGAGCGAGGTGCTCAGGATGCTGGGGGCGAAAACCAACGCCTTGTAGTTCCTGCTGTTAGTCTTCAAGACGGAGGTGTGGGGGTTCGCGGCAGCCGAGTGCCAAGGCCTGGGAAGCGGCGCGGCGCGTGCGCAGTGGCGTTCGGCGGGACCCGCTGAGGCAAAGCGGAGCCGCAGTGACAGAAGCAAGCGAGCGGCCGCCAGGAAGGACTCACCGAGGCGCAGGGGCTGGAGGTGGTGCTGGGGGTAGGCGACCGCTGGACCGTGACCAAAGCCATCTAGGCGCTGCTGGGTTGTTCCGGGCAGGGCATTCTCGTCCTGAGTGTGGGGGGCGGGAGCGTGACGGAGCTGGGATGGGGAAAGGGGTGCGGGGTG